AACACCGACAGACAGACAGACAGGGGAACAAAAAACGTTCAGAATCGTCTGAAACGCAAAGATCTATAAAAAAAATTTGGAATGGAACATTTTTTTCCCAATTTTAAAACGATCACATACTCCTCCATACTATTGTATGTACATAATATGGTGGAGTCAAAAAGTTTAAAATCATCGAAATGAAATACAGTCCAAGAGTCTGAGTAGATACAGTCTAATTTTTGATAGAGTTGATGGGTTGGCAACACCTTTTACAATCATTAATGAAAAAGGTAAACTGACACATAACCTTGACGAAAAAAGCTATAGATACTGAATAAATTGTTAAAAATAAGCGGTAAAAAGAATAAAGTAAACTTACTAACTACTACACTTACTTGTTACTTCTGTAGTAATACGCCAACAATTCTTAAATACAGTTCACTAATACTTCTCTATTGTGTTACTACTCTATTCTATTATCGCTCGCCGTTTTATTGTTTGCTGTACACCACGCTGTACACTGTCAAGCCACGTCAAAGTATCTAACTGAAACTGGCTGATCTTTGTACCTTGAACCCGTGTTGGTGAAACACGAAACGCACAGTATTGTATTCCGATAGCTATAGTATAGGCGGTTGGTACGTTAATTTTTTTGTTGTTTCTTATTACATTGTATTTGCAATTTTTTCTATTAGAATATTTCAAGGGGGCCGCAGGGCCATCAGGGGGGGGGCTGGCCCCCCCCCTTGCCCCCTCCTAGCTACGCCAATGTATGCTACCTATCTGCCATAAATTTGCACTTAACTTTTTTGCTCTTCAAGTTACGGGTATTTGTCATTAAAAATATTAAAGATACATTATTTTAACAACAAAAAGTATACTTGTTAATAATTTCAAAAATCAACAGTTTTCGAGATAATCGCATTTTACAAATCAGCTGAATAATTCTGATTTAACGAAATTACTCCAGGCAACGAAGGAAAAATAGACAAAAACATCAAAACTTCTGAATTTTGGTGTAAACGACCTTTAACTATTTATAGTTAATAGTTAACGAAATATTAAATAAAATAAATATATCAGCAGGATAATATTTATAATAGGATTTGACAAAATAACAGAATAATAGGACTTAACATAAAATGTTTTATATTGAATTAAAGTTAAAATCAAAACATTTTATTTACAAACCAAATTAAGAAATAGTTAAACTAAATAACATTAAACTTTTTGTCAAAGTAAGTGTTCGATATGTCCACCATTTCTTTAATTCATTTGTCAATACATTCCAAAGTTAGACTAAATATAAAGTTATTAATATAATATAAATTTGATATGAAATCATTAAATTGATAGTAAATTTAATGATTATATAAAATAAATAATATGTTTTAAAATATAATTTGATTAGGTATAGTTTGAAAAGAATTTATTAACCACTAGCGTTACAAAATATATGATGACTAGAAACGAATTGATAGCGAGTAGTAAATCGATGTGAAAACCGTTATTTCATAAAACTACTCGTGACACTGTCTTGTAGCGCTTCTTCCGTGACGCTCGCCTCAGCATTTTACAATAGAGAGAAACTAATACAATGCCAGTTTAAAATCTTATAGAAGCGATAGAGAAAGGAAATTGTAGACATGATGACGATCAACGTCTGAATACGGATACGACACCTAAAAAAGAAGATAGAAGCTTCTCTCCAATGCGACATTTAGCAGCCATAACAAAGCATTTTGTGATATTACATTATTATCTTTGAGTTGTTTTAATAAGAACAAATTATTAATTATGCTTATCCACAGGTATTCAGTGCTTTACCGCACAAATATCACAACTAAGAATTATTATGCAGCTGACTTATAAAATGCGATTATCTCGAAAAGGGTTGAACTTTAAACCTACTAAGAAGTACACCTTTTCTTTGTAAAAATAATGTATATTTATTATATTTTAACACAAATATCGCTAACTAAAAAGTTAAGCGTAAATTTATGCCCCATATGTGACATATGTGGCGCCCTCTATCAGCTACATTAAAGTATGTATAAAATTATAAATTCTTCTACTTATAAGCATCCAATTATAAATTTTTATCTATAGATATTTACATATACTTCATCTAATTTACATACCGTTGCACGTCATCGGCGTCATAGCCCGTGACGTCACATGATACCAACACGAAATATTTAGGCGGCAGGTGTGTTCTTTTTTAGAATCACTTTGCCGAGTACACTGGCATTACAGCCACTAGACATATTTTATTATATACGCGTAGAAATAATATTTAAAGATTTCTATTAATGTTAACTTAAAGAAATACACAATAATATGTTTCATTTAATTTGTATAAATGCATTATAAATCGTTTTTATGAAGAACATTTGTTCGAACACACCGTAACTGCAATCGAACGAAGGTGAAATTTTGGCATAAATTGGTAACACTTATTTGACAATTGCGGTGTTGACACTTTTTGTGCTTTATTATTTTGAATTTTAAAGTGAATACCTCTTGTTTTATATTTTTACCTATTTAATAAAATCTGTTCTTTTTAGAACAAAACTAGTGTTTTATATTTCAAAAATGTCACATAAGAATTTAAATAGTCGTTGTAAAGAGATGGCAATACTTTTGCAATAATTATGTGACCTATTTGATTTAAAATGGATTCAGGATTTTTTTATACTTTGGTAACTATGTCAACTTCGATCTCTGACGTAGATAATGACGTATAAGGGTATGTAAATTAGATGAAGAATACGTAAAAGTTATAGCGAAAATAAAATAAAATTTTAAATTTCCACTTTAACACCCTGTATCTTTCTTAATATCAACATTTTATTAAAGCAAGTTGAGTTAAATCGTAATATTTTAAAGTGCAGAATATACGGTTTCTTTTTGTACAATTACTTAAGGACCACCCTGTATACAGTGTGTCTGCGTAATTTGGAACCATAAGGGAAACTTTTTATTATTAATTTTACGAAAAAAAATTATTCTTCATAAAAATCTCTGTATGATCTAAAACCTAAGATGCTACCATCAGATATCAAATTTGATCAGTCTTATACGAGGTATGTCAAAAATATGAATTTCGCTCAAGAGTAAACTAGGTACCTTTCTATTTCACAATATCGAAAATTATTATTATGAAAAGTCGTTTGGAACTAAAAACTATGTTTTAATATGCAATTATATCCTTCTAATTGAAAAAAAAAAAAATGAATTCTACAAGTTAATTAATAACTACGTGGTAAAGCATTCATACAATTTTTTGGACACTTTGTGTATTTTCCCCTATATAGATTCACAATCTCTGTTCTTACAATACGAAGTTTTACACTATTATATAGGGTATTTAACGAGTTATGACCATTTTTATTTCGATATCGCTATGAAAACAACACCCTGAATATAAAGAAGGAATCAATAAATAATTATTCATTTTACATAAAAAGGTAAACAATATGTTCTAGTTTTCAAATTAAGTTTAACAGAAATCATTGAAGTGAACTACAAAACAAAACTACGATTTTCTCACATTTTTAAGTGTACAACAGTTGGGATTAACTATTCTTTCATCAATTTTTCGTAATTTTCTGAATTAATATCATGATAATATCCTGTATTGACTCCTGATTGAAAAATCAAATGGCATTCTATATGAAACCCATCTTTCCACCACCATGTACGATAAAGAACCTACTTCCTTTTAAACAATACTTTGCCAGTCTCATAAATCCAACTACTTGGCGTAGCGTATCCTGCATGTACATATGTTTCATAAACATACAGGGTGGTGAATCGTTAAACGGGCCATAGGAAACTCAATAAGAAATTCTAAATTGTTGAATTCCTGCTTCCCTAATTATTTTACACCAAAAGTCATGGAAAACTATTTGTAGAGGACTCAAATATGTATCGAAAACAAGTGTTAAAATTGTTCTACGACTTAATCGTATTCCAAAATTTTGCTAAAATATAATACATTTTTCAGGCCACCCCTAAAAGTCAGGCCAGACGCCGTGAATAGAATGTGTATTACGTGTTGCGTTTTGTCATATTGTCATCATATTATTATATTTATCTATGATTTAAATGGCCAAAATTTTGTGATTTATTATTTAAAAGAAAAATTAAGTTGATTAAAAAATGTACTCAGTTAAGGAGAAAAGAGCAATAATAAAAATGTTTTATTCATGTTTTATTATAACATTTGTTATAGTTTTATGTTTAGAAATTATCGTATATTATTATTAGGAATAAAGATCACAGTAACAGTATATTGGAATTCATTGAATTGTTGTATAACTTAACATGGAATTAAATTTTAGTGTATTAGAATATCTTACGTTAAATAAAGATCCGGTAGTGACAGAAAAACGTTCGCGCTATTGCCTGAATACAACATTATGCGATTTTTCGTCAACTGAGTACATTTCATTATATTGATCGATTTGTAAACAATATAATTTATTGTTCACAAAGTAATATTGTTCAGTAGTAGTAGTATTTAGTAAAATTCATTGTTTATAATTTAATCATAAAATAAAAAAAAATGACAATTCAAATTGTCAAACATCTGACATGATAAAACCAGAGATATGTAAGAATAAAACACACGTTATAATATATTCTTGTATTACGTGTGGCCTAACTTTTAGGGGTGGTCTGAAAAATCTATTATATTTTTGCAAAATTTTGAAGTACATTTGATTCGTAGAACGGTTTTAACATTTGTTTTTAATTTAGAATTTAGTCCTCTGCAAATAGTTTTTTATGACTTTTGATCTAAAATAATTAGGGAAGCAGCAATTCAACAATTTAAAATTTCCCATTCAGTTTCCTATGGCCCGTTTGACGATTCACCACCCGGTATACAACTGACTTACCTTCGCTTCTGTAATATTTACTTTGTCCAAATACTTAATGGTAAAGCACGAATGTCATCGTATGTAAAATGAACTATACTATACTCTTCATTCGTACACGTTTTATTTTTCCAGCTAAACTTCAAGAAGGGAGATTTTATAACCGTAACACAGAAAGATGATGGTTGGTGGGAAGGCACCCTTAATGGCGAGACGGGCTGGTTTCCTAGTAATTACGTCAAGGAGTGCAAAGGTACGTAAAATTATTATATTTTATTTGTTATCAATATAATAAGCAAATTTTTTAGAAATTATATATTAGAGGAGAGAATATTCTATCGGATTATTAGAAAATGTACATAACTTTGTTGCTTTCTGCTCTTGCTGCATTTTTGTGGTTGATTTGTGTCTCGATAAGTGTGCCCCAAAAACGGTTGCCCCGTAGACCACTTACCTATATTTTTAGTTTCTATAGATCCCGAATGTCTAATTTTTTTAAAATTGATTCGATGTGTATTATTAAAATAGCATAAAAGACGTAAAAATACTGAGATATACAATAATCCAAAAATATTAGAGTAATTACAATTTAAATGGGAATAAGCCACAATTAAAGGTTAAAGTACGTTTATTGACGTTTCAATTTCCACTTCGGAAATCGTTCTCAAAATATAAACTAATTACTATTTAACTGGGAATAAGCCACAATTATAGATAAAAATACGTTTATTGCCGTTTCAATTTCCACTTCGGAAATCGTTCCCAAAATACAAACAGTAAATTAAACAAATTTTGTTTTTTGTTACATAGTGAAAAATTCTTCTACTAATTTAATTTTATCTGACTCATTTATATTGAAAATTCAGACATACATTATGCATTTTAAAGTAGACGACTTTAAAATGATATTGCCAATATTGTTGAGTTGCGCTCCTGGGACGCAACTTATAAGATAGTTCATTCGATTACATGAAATTAAATTTAACTTGAGAATATCCGTCAGAAAAAAATCATAGCATGTAATTCGTCTTTAAAAAGACAAACACATGACATGATTACAGTAGTTCTTCTCCTTCTAATTCTCCTGTTAGTGATTCCATAGTAAATTATGAGGGAAAAACCAGGAAAAAAACCTCATAATACTATCCAGACATTGTAAGTATTTGTTCGTGAATTTAGTTTACCTTCAACAAACATCAAAATTCTGATTTTATATGTTACGTTATTTATGATAGATCTCAAATATGTAAACACGCATGGGATAATGAACATAGGGTTCAATGGAATAATTCAAATGTAGTCCTAAAAGAAACGGATGGCAAAAAAAGAAAAATGAAAGTAGCGGCTCTAATTATGCTAAATGAGGCCCATTGTGTCGCAAATTCCTCGACAGAATGTAGTAGGATCTGGTTACCAATATTGAAAGAGGAAGTTATTAATAAGAAAATACCAGTATTAGTAAGTCAGTAACATATAGAGGATACATCATTTATGTTTTTTAAATAACGTAACATATAAAATCAGAATTTTGATGTTTGTTGAAGGTAAACTAAATTCACGAACGAATACTTACAATGTCGGGATAGTATTATGAGGTTTTTTTCCTGGTTTTTCCCTCATAATTTACTATGGAATTACTAACAGGAGAATTTTACTGTCATCATGTCATGTGTTTGTCTTTTTAAAGACGAATTACATGCTATGACGGATATTCTCAAGTTAAAGTTGATTTCATGTAATCGAATGAACTATCTTATAAGTAAAGTCGTCCCAGGAGCGCAACTCAACAATATTGGCAATATCATTTTAAAGTCGTCTACTTTAAAATGCATAATGTATGTCTGAATTGTCAATATAAATGAGTCAGATAAAATTAAATTATTAGAAGAATTTTTCACTGTGTAACAAAAAACAAAATTTGTTTAATTTACTGTTTGTATTTTGAGAACTATTTCCGAAGTGGAAATTGAAACGTCAATAAACGTATTTTTATCTTTAATTGTGGCTTATTCCCAGTTAAATAGTAATTAATTTACAATGCCACAAGAAAATAGCTGCAGAACAATAATAACAAAATATAAACTTTAGTAAATTAAACAAATTGTGTTTTTTTGTTACTTGGTGAAAAATTCTTCTAATAATTTAATTTTATCTGACTCATTTATATTGAAAATTCAGATATATATTATACATTTTAAAGTAGACGACTTTAAAATGATATTGCTAATATTCTTGAGTTGCGTTCCTGGGACGACTTTACTAGTAAGATAATTCATTCGATTACATAAAATAAACTTTTAACTTGAGAATATCCGTCAGAAAAAATCATAGCATGTAATTCGTCTTTAAAAAGACAAACATCTGCCATGATGACAGTAATATTCTCCTGTTAGTGATTCCATAGTAAATTATGAGAGAAAAACCAGAAAAAACCTCATAATACTATCCCGACATGGTAATTATTTGGTCATGCATATAGTTTACTGTCAATAAACACCAAATTCTGATTTTATATGTTTGTAATTTAAAAAACAGAAATGATTTACTCACCTACTAATACTGGTATTTTCCTTTTAATAACTTTACTTTTAATAACTTTACTAAGATTTTTATCGTATCTCTCCCCCTGCATGTTTACACATCATAACGTTTTTCTGTACCCCCTTCCCCTACCTAAAAAAACGTAACACCCAAGTGATCATTTTTACCTAAAAGTAACAATTATATTGCAAAAAGAACCGACCATAATAGCCTACACCGTTTGACAATATTGTCTATGTCAATCTGTGAATTGTTTACGTTTTATTCATTCAAATAAAATAATAATAAATACAGAAAACTAAAAATTGCATTGTATTACTTTTTCCGTGATCTGTTTTAATAGAACAATCTATAAACATGGATAGTTTATACTTCTAAAAATAAAATGTCGCTAGTTTTATTGATTGACTTCTAAATAAAAGTATTTGATGTTTGAAAAATGAATTCCAGAATTTCCCATTGTAAACATACATATATCTGTCGGTCGTCACTCGTTTGATGTAACTTGTTTCATGGAATTTTACATAATATTTCGTTGAAAATTAATGAACGGGAAAGATTTTATGATTTTAAAACAAATTATAGCATATATATATATATATATATATATATATATATATATATATATATATATATATATATATATATATATATATATATATATATATCAAAACCTTCCTACCATATATTTGCTTCTTAACAAATGTCTTCCATTCTTTGCGGTTTCCTGTCAATATCTTTCCGTCTGTCCATGTCACTCCTCGTCTCTCCAATATATTTTCGATTACTTCATGCCATGTCTGTCTTGGTCTTCCCCTTTTTTTGTTTTTCGGTATTTTTTTCATCCCCAACACCCTTCTCACTGGTACTGTACCTTTCATCTAGTGTAAATGACCCCACCAACTAAACCAGTCTCTGTTCTATAATTCCAATGTCGATTGTATATTCAGTTCGTTCCTTATATCTGTGTTCCTTATTCTATCCACTGTGGTAGCTCCTTTAACTCTTATTAAAAGCTTAATCTTTAAAGCCTGTATCTTTCTCTTTTGTCGTTCCGTTAGTACTCATGTTCCGCTGCAAAAAGTCAGAACGGGTCTATAATGTGCTTTAAAAACTTTCATTTTTGTATTTCGTGATATTTCTTTTATGTAGATAAGTATTTTGTTTATTGTATGATCTACTCTGCTATTGATTTCTGCTTCTAGTTACTAGTTACTAGATACTAAATATTTGCAAGTTTTTATTGTTGATTCATATTTTATACCTTTGTAGATGCTCCCAGGCCCATCGTTCTTCAACAGAATCAATACAAATCTGTCGTCCTTAACGATTTGGTAGATTCGGAAAAAGCACACGTCACTGAGCTCGAGGGCCTCGTTACCAATTTCCTACAGCCGCTGGAAAAAAGCACCATGTAAGTACTAGCCTAAATAAAACTTTTTTAACCATCATCAGTCGAATCTAGTAGCTGATACTGTTGGTCCTAATTTTATTTACAGTTTAACTCCTGATGAATACAAACAGTTGACGGGAAACATCACAGAGGTCTTAGAAACGCACCAGCAGCTTCTGAAACTCGTAGAATTGGAATCGAGTAAACCAGGAAATGATCAGCGAGTTGGTAAATTGTTCCTCAATTGGGCACCAAGAATTAAAAGTATACACCAAGCCTACTGTTCGTTACATCCCAGGGCAGTATGCATTTTGGACAAGTATAGGTAAGATACGGCTTTAATTTATTTATGTTATCTCTTCCCAACGCTCAATATGTACCTTAGCTTTTCTACTATATATGTTCACTCACTTTGCCTTTGTCTATCCTTTTCCTCTGTGTATCGCTAGCTTTCTACTTCCTTACTCTTACTTCACTTCTCTTGCTTTTGCTCCATAATTGACACTAGTCATCAACCTCTTGTAGATAGTTTAACAGTCCCAGTGTACACTTCAGCTGAATTTGAACAGCGCAACTCAGGCAAATTTGTAACAGAAGACACTAATTTCTGCTGTTGTTTATTTGTTTGAAGCATTTTTTTCTCGGGTCATATTTTATACAAATTGTATTATGTGCTAACGCGATTGTATAGCGTAATAAAATTTGGTGGAAATAATGTTTGTTGTTTTAAGGGATGAACTAACTAAATACATGGAGTCAAAGGGTGCAGCAAGCCCTGGAGTACTGGTACTAACTACCATGTTAAGTAAACCGTTTAGAAGACTGGACAAATATTCTGGAATGCTTCAAGAGTTGGAAAGGCACGTCGAAGAATCCCATCCAGACAGAGGCGATACCCAGAGATCAGTTAGCGTTTATAAGGATATTGCAGTAAGCATTTACTTTTTATTTTAACTTGACCAATACTTTATTTGTTGTATTGTTTTTAGGCAACTTGTGCCGCCACCAGACGACAGAAAGAACTTGAGCTGCAGGTGCTAACAGGTCCAGTTAGAGGCTGGGAAGGTCCGAGCTTGACAACTTTGGGCGATATAATATATATGGGATTAGTTTCGGTGATGCCACAACACAACGATCGGTACTTTGTGTTGTTTCCTTCTACTTTGTTAATTTTGAGTGTTAGCCATAGACTGAGCGCCTTCATATATGAGGTGAGTTCTTTTATTTAATTGTATACTACAAAGTATCAAAAACAGTGGTTTCTTGATATACTTTTTTACGAGTAGAACGACAAAATTACACAGTAGTATCCTAGAATAACTGTTTAAGCAGTTGATAATGATAATTAATTTAACATCATTAAATTTTCAGATCGTAAAACTTTTCTAGCTATAGTATAAGTTTTTAACCACTAGTAGTACTGTTTAAGCGATAGTAGATAGAAGATTTTCAATAACTTACATAATTTGTTCAACTACTAGTAGCATTTTTAGTAGCATATAGTATTTTTCAACCGCGTGGGGGATTTTTCAACCGCTTGTGATAATTTTTAATAGCTTGTCGTATTTTCCAATCGCTACTGGTAATTTTTAATTGCTTGTTGTGTTTTTCAATCGCTAGTGGTATTTTTCAATCGCTAGTGGTATTTTTAATCGCTTTTGGTATTTTTCAATCGCTAGTGGTAGTTATCAATATTTAGTGGTATTTTCCAATCACTAGTAGTATTTGGCATCCAATCGCGTATGGTATTTTTCAACCGGTTGTGGTATTTTTCAATCGCTAGTAGTATTTTTTCAACTGCTTGTGATGTTTTTTACCACTAGTGACATTTTTTCAAATGCTAGAGACATCTTTTTACTGCTAGTAAAATGCTTCAGGCAGTAAGAGTATTTTTCAACCGCTTATGGGATTTTTCAATCGTTCTAGCGTTTAAAAAAATATCGCTATGAGATAAAAAGTACTACTAATGCTTGAAAACTACTAAAAATAGTTAAAACAATTATAATTAATTTAAGTCTCGGTTTGAAAAAATACTACAAATGGTCGAAATATTCTCTTAGTGTTTGAAACATTTTACTAGAGGTTCAAAGATATCATTGGAATTTCGAAAAGTGGTACTGTAACCTCGGAAATCTTTTTTGGGTGGTGCTAGAAAGATAACCAATGGAGACACTGCGGACGGCAGCCAGATGGTTGGTGGAGAGCGAGTCGTGGGTTCGAAACTAGCTTTTGGAACCGGGATTGGGTCCAACGGACGAAATAGGTAAAAATAGGATAAGAGATATTAGAAAAGATATAGAAATAAACGAAAAGATAGATGGGTGAAATTACCAAAAATAAGAGAAGATAGAAACAGGGCGCCACTCAATTTTTTGAGGTTAAGGAGAAAATTAAGAAACCTTAGAAAAGAAAAGAGATAAGGAAAGATATCCTTCAGAGATCAGAGATCAAACCCAAGGAAAGATACCAACAGTTAATTATCAAATAAATTTGGTCAACACAAAATATAAACAAATAATAAATATATTAGGTATTACACTTACTTACCTACGAAACTTAATCAGCCTGATCTTTCTACTGGTCAAAGGTATAGTAATAAATTAATATACTAAGCAAATATTTGGAGCTACTATTTTATCAGGGAACTTGTTAGGAGCCGACAAATAAAATACATGCATAAAACATTAACAATATATTAAACACAAAATTATGATGCTGCTAAATGCAACACAAGTAATAAAAATACACAACTATGAAATGGTGTTATATATCTATAAAATTAAGCAATAATATAATAAAAAAATACCTTTACCAAGAGATATAAGGCAATCATATACAAATATAGTTTGGCGTATCTCGAGATATTATAGAAAAGATAATGAGCAAAAATTATAGCAAATACAAAAGATAGCAAAAATTTCTTAACTCTAAATTTACAAAAAAAAACAAACAGGTTACAGAGTTGAAAACATTAACTAGCCAAACCGCACTTGGCTAGGTGGGTTACTATCTCGCACTATTAATTAATGCTAAACTGAGATGTTCATAGTTATTATTTATGGAAAGTTCTTGAATTGTTCTTTAAATTAAATATAAAAATCGGCAATCTACAGATGAAGATATGGATGAATGATGGGTGATACGTCCAGATAATGGCAGGTGGTATGATATCATACCATACCATATCGCCCAGATAATTTGCAGATTAAAATTATGGTAACTTACATAATTCCTGATGACGGCAGCTTAATTCACTGAATTTAATTAGGTACCATTAAAGGTAGTGTAGAACTATATATAACTTAATATAGTCTAAGACAAGAAAACTGAAATATAGAGTGTATACACACTTAAAAAATAATTCACAGAGACGATAATTTCAGGCAAGCGACCACACTCAACGAGAGGCCACCGAGAAGTTTCACGAGATAATCGACCTGTGCTCAACGAGAGCCCACCGAGAAGTAAATTGGTTCCACTAAAAATTTCACCAACTATCCAAGAAAAAAGAAGAAGACGGTATATCCCCCACTTAAAATCATCGGTCAGTTGTAGGTAATTCAGAGGAAGTAAAAATTCCGAAAGTTTTGAGTTACCGGTACCAACAATTGGACATGAGAAGCAGACAATACTTAGGATTAAGTTATTGTCAAAAGATACGGGCCTTCGGCGAAAATTATCAATTTATGTAAAAGAACCTGCATACTCAAAAGCATTAGATCTTTTCATACTGAGTATTAAGACGGAAAGGATTAACTACCTTTAGTAATTAGGGAAGTCCATTATAATTTAGTAGATCCAATATTATTTTCTTATCGTAAACACGGGAATTCCTAATCATCGGCGTATCGCACGGGGGTAAAAGAAATTAAAAATAATTAATATTTTAATAATAAAAAAAATGTTGCAGTACTAGTGCTGGAAAAACACTATAAGTTGCTGAAAAAAGCTACCATTGATTGAAAAATTGCTGTCCGTTAATAAAATCATTACTATCGCTTTATATTTTCAGGGTAAGTTATTCCTTTCTGGTTTGTCCGTTACGAGACTTGAGGACAATGACCAGCATAAAAACGCCTTCGAAATCAGCGCTCCCATGATCGACAGGAGGCTGGTAGTGTGCCAGAGTAAAGAAGATGCGGATCACTGGGTAGAATTGTTGAGGAAGCAGATGCCCAGGTCGTCCACCGCTTCCACCGTTAGTCAGAAAGTATCTCCGTCCCAAGCACAGTTCGTTCCACAACCACCGCCACATGTAAGTTTTAAATTTGTGTTTTCTTTTACTGCTTTTTTTTAAGCGAAAAGCTGCGTTAAAAGGGAATTTTGTAATGACATTTTGGAGACAGATAAGAGACGCTATTACACAAAAATTATTAATTCCTTTCTAAATTTTCTTTAATATGTATTTAGTATAGTTGTTTCTGTGTCAATGCACGTTATCAAGTGAACTTTCTACACTTTATTTGGTATTGAGAGAAGAGTTATATGCATGCAAAACGCTTGCAGACACCATATTTTAATAGTCTCTACAAAACGATATTTGTATATTTTCACAATTGCCAGTAACTCTTTTTTTACCTATTGTCTTCAAATAGTATTTTTTCCTCCAAAAGTCCCTAAATTATTTCTGCTTTAGGTGTAGGTCACTTTTTAGATCTTTAGAATTAAGACTTAATTAGTACTACTGGACGTACTACTTCTTTGTTTGTGATTTTATCACGATTGTAGACAAGAAAAAGTTGACTAATCGTTTCACACGTCAATACAAGTCCAGAGAAGAAAAAACATGATTAATGGTTGCAGATGTTCGCACAGGTGGCTGGCTGCAGTTTGCATAGATGGACAGATGCAGTTGATCGCACAACCATAAGGGGGACATTCAACCAGCGAAGACTTTACACGAAACTAATGACAGAAAAAGAAATAAGAGCTTATATATCGCATAGAATGACAGATAGAGAAAAAGTAGAACTGAAAGAAGAATACTGGAGAGATGAAATCAAAGGGGGCGTGGCTGTTGATGTTGGAGTTGTAGGAGTAAATATATCTGTCCTTTGCTAGTAAAATGCTTCAGGCAGTAAGAGTCTTTTTTAATCGCTTATGGTATTTTCCACCCGTTAGTGGTATTATTTAATCGCTTCTAGTATTTTTCAATCGCTTGTGGTATTTTATATACAGTGTAGGAAAAATTTTATGGTCGGTATGGTAAAATTTAACAGGATATCTAACGCAGATATAAAATCATATTTTCAGCGAATAGACAAAGATAACAATCATATTTCCCCTTGGTCTCCCCTCCTCAAATATTTTTAACACCTATTGGCCATTAGTGAGACGAATAGTTCCGATCAGAGATATTTTACATATTCTCTGGTTCCGCTCCTAATATACCTAAAAAACTAGAGGTGGGTCCTCCCGTTTTTTAAATTTTTATCGGAACCGTTTTTCGTAAACTGTAACTAGTTGATTCAAATTAGCGAGTACACAAACATATTGGCTATTATCGTTTATGTGTATAAGTATTGAAGTGAAAGAACCTAACGAAGGATATATTTATTATAACTTGAAAAATAAATTAAACAATACAAATAGTACTTACATTTACATTAAATCGTACTTACATTTACATTACACGTTATTATTAAATCGCGAACCGTCTAAATTGACATTTAAAAACAAGTTTTTCTACTTTTCTTGTTAACTGTGTTCTTCTTTTATTTAAAATCAAACCAGATTTTAAACATGTGTTCACAAGGAAAAGATTTTGTTACAATTCTACAATATTTTATGAATATAGTGGCTAAGTTAGGATATACATGGCGATGGTTTTTCCACCACGGTAATGGACAGTTCCAATCTCCGTTCGAAATTTATTGTGGGTAATATATTATCAGACAAATACATGTCGACTTCTTGTATATCTCTCGATACAGTTGTATGTTTAGATGAGTCGTGTCCAATTAATTCATCAAAAATACACAATGGACTTAAGTCACCTTTATCAGTTTCTTTTTCTTGACTAAACTTATTGATTTACTAAACTTATGCAAAGACTCGTTTCATCCGTTTTCTATAGGTGAAGAACCAGCTTTTAAAAAGTTTGCAGGGTGGATTCCTGGATATAAACCGCCAACAAGAAAAACTGTTAGATTCATTACTTCAGGAATGTTATGTCAAAACTGATTTGATAATAGATAAAATAAAAAGTCCTTTTTTCGACAATTCTGCAAAAAACATTAAAAAAAGTACCTTATCTTCAGAAAGGCTTAATTACAACATAACAAAGTTCCCCAGCGGCCAATCCAAGACGTGGAAACTAGGTAGAACTTCACCTATTACAGGTTAAAAAGAATGACTGAGTTAGAAGAGGCAATCCGTTTCACTTCTTCTTCTTTAAGTTCCATCTTTTATCGAAGGTTGGAAATCATCATGGCTATGCCGACTCTGTTGACTGTCGCTCTAAAAAGGTCTGCAGTACTGCATTCAAACCATTCCCTTAAGTTCTTAAGCCAGGATATTCTTCGTCTTCCCACATTTCGCTTTTCTCGGATTTTGTCCTGCATAATAAGTTGTAATAATGCGTATTTTTGCCCTCTCATCACATGTCCCAAGTACTCAAGTTTTCGTCTTTTAATAGTTAATATTATTTCTGCCTCATTTCCTATCCTTCTAGTTACTTCAATGTTTGACATTTTTTGAATCCATGATATTCGTAGGATTCTTCTGTAACACCAAAATTCAAAGGCGGCCAACTTATTCAGATGAACTTGTTTTAGTGTCCAAGCTTTCAGACCATAAAGAAGAGTAGAGAACACGTAACATCGAAGCATTCTCAGGCGTAGTTCTAACCTTATATCCCGACAACAAAGAAACTTTTTAAGTTTAATAAATGATGTACGTGCTATTTCAATACGTGTCTTAATTTCTTTGATTTGGTCTACATCTGATGTTATCCATGTTCCTAAGTATTTATAGTTATTAACACTCTTAATTGCAGTATCTTCAATAGTCAATTGGATATTTGTGCAGATTTAGTCATGATCATGCATTTAGTTTTCTTTAAATTTATCTTCAGTCCGTACTCATGACAGCGTTCATTAAGGCGTTGCATTAGGTTCTGTAAATCATTGTTGTTATCCGTAATTATTTCTGTATCGTCTGCAAAACGTAAGTTATTCAAAACTTCTCCATTGATAGATATACCTTCTATTGAGTCAGAGAGCGCTTCTTAAAATACCGATCACTGTAGACATTGAGAAGTAGTGGGGACAGCACGCAACCCTGGCGGACTCCTCTCTGTATTTTGATATTTTCGGTGTACTGGCGTGTATTTCCGTTCCACATCGGTATTAAATAATACAGACTTAGACGTAGACCAAATCTAAATAAAAAACACTGGATTATTTGTTCTCAGCTTTCCCAAATTTTACGGCCGTTTAAAGAAATAACAAGTACAATGAGTGACCAAAAATACTTGAAGGGTAGTTCAGTGATTGTTATGGTACGCGGCCTGCAAGAATCTTACAAGAAAACTTTAGCAAACGGTAACCTTACATCCATAGTATCCGACGTAGTACAATTACTAATATCGGGTTTAGCAAAAATATTTAAAGGGATAGAACAGAGTGGCATATTGTCATTATGTACATTTATGGATTCACCATTTAAAGTGCAGGGTTTTTCTGATAAAAATGAAGATAAAAAAATAAAAGAAAAAGTTAAGAAGTTGGTTACTTCTATAATTAACGAACAAGAAGATTGTACTATTGAAAATCAACCAGTACAAGAAAAAGAAACCAATAAAGATGACTTAAATCCATGGTGTATATTTGATCAATTAATTGGAGATGGCTTATCTACACGTACACCTGTATCGAGAGTCCATTACAACGATGGAAAAACCATCGCCATGTATATCCTAACTTAACCCCTATATTCATACAGTATTGTAAATGTGAACACATGTTCAAAATCTGGTTTAATTTGAAATAAAAAAAGAAGACGGTTAATAAGAAGTAGGTATAGTAGAAAAACTTATGTTTTTTAATGTCAATTTAGACTATTCGCGATTTAATAATAACGTGTAATGTAAATGTAAGTACGATTTACTATTTGTATTGTTTAGTTTATTTTTCAAGTTATAATAAATATATCATTAGTTTCTTTCACTTCAATAAATATACACATAAACGATAATAGCCATTATGTTTGTTTATGTAGGTACTCTCTTACTTGAAACTACTTTTAAACAATCATAGTTACTTGTTTACAAAAATTTAAAATTTTAAATTCATTCATTTTTTTTTGGAATCCTGATAAAACTAACAAATATTTTTGAAAAATTTAAATGCAGAATAAAAGATTACATTATTACCGAGGGTCGAAAGTCCCTTAGAATAAACAAAAAGTTTTTTGAATGAGATATTTGAAATTAAAAATCACACTAATTTTTTTTTCGCCCTTATAACTTATTAAAATAAACATTATAGAAGTTTTCAGGGACTTTTGGCCCTCGGTAATAATGTATTGGTTCATTCTGCGTTTAAATTTTTCAAGAATATTTATTAGTTTTATCAGGATTCGAAAAAAATGAATGCATTTAAAAAATATTAATCGCTCTTACGCTCTTAACGATAAAATTACCACGACCCACCTCTACTACCCGTTACTCGGTGTTCTGACCAGACGGACGGCGTTGCCAAATAAATTATTGTGTGTGAATATTTTTTAATGTGGTGTTATTGTATGCAGTTTATTATTTCATATTGGGAATAAGGCACAATGTGACTTTAAAATAAGCTTATTTTGATGTTTAGATTTTTAATTCGGAAATCGTACTTAAAATACGAAACATTAATAAATTTTATTTAGGTATATAAAACGATTTCCAAAGTGGAAATCAAAATGTTATATTACACTTATTGTAAAGTAAACTTGTGGCATATTCCCAATAAAAAAAACAGTAAGCTGCCATTTAAATCAATTTCGCCCAAATTGGATTATCTTAGAACATTGTTCAAATGCAAAAAAAAACAACAGGTCAAATAAATCCAATAAGTTTGGCAACGTTGAACTTCCCCTTTCCAGGCATGCATGTTTGGCGATATAAAGGGCGGACCTAATATACCTCTCTTTTTCTAAACAGCTGTTTCTCACTCCATCTCACGTAAGGTCCATACCGACCATAAAATTTTTCCTACACTGTATATCAAAAGGTAGAAGAGTTGATAGTGACAGATGAAAAAGAAGAGAAGCTGAAAAAATAAGATGTAAATGATGTCTCAATTTTGTGAACTGCTTCTGACGAATAATAGTTTCCCTAAATAATTTATATACTTTCCCATTCAATGGTTTTAATCCTGTAATCATGCAATGTGTCTTTCAAATCCACCCTCTCTTTTTCTTTTGTCTGTTGAGTATTCTCTAAGCTCAAGTTCTTCTAGGCTTTCTGTTCCCCCTCTCTCTCTTTCTCTCTCTCTCTCTCTCTCTCTCTCTCTCTCTCTCTCTCTCTCTCAATAGCAAATTAAGTTTAGAAAAGAATCGTTGATATCAAGTTGGTCACTAAGAATTACGCCTGTATTTTTGAATTTATATCCATTTGTAGTCTTTATTACAAAATTCTAATGCGATTTACTTTTTTAAAGAAAATTGATGTTGAGTTGAGTTATCTCTAATATTTCAGCATCTAGATCGGAGGGGTTACTGCAACCGTTCCTCAGTGATAAAGTATAAATCGCCTAGCGGCCACCGCCCTACAACGTATCCCCCTGATCACTACCCATCGGCAGCGCCGTTCGCTGCACTAACGAAACATTTCCAAAGACTTATCAAGCAGAAGTTAATAACAAGAAAACTTCTGAAGAATCTTTTATATTCGGAGTATTTGAATAAAAGAAACATAAATTTAGTTAAAATAAGACATCATAGAACCGAAATCAGTATTTACACGAAGGATATTCACTGTCGGGACAGTGTTATCCATTGCGAAAGTGATTCAGATAGTGATAGTTCGACGGTTAGTGATAGAAAAGTAGTTTCTGGTACTAGTTCCAGTAGTTCGAGTAATCCGTTCGGGTATATAAGGTACTACAATCCGCAGACAGGATCGGAAAGGGCAGAAACCAAATATGAGAGTATGGTCGATTATGGGGAACCCCCAAAAATAAAAGTCCCTAGTCTGTTAGTGTCCAAAGCCAGCATTCACCTGCAAAAGCAGTGGTCTGAAGAATCTGAAACTAGTGCAGCTCTGCCTGAGCCCAAGGCGTACATGGCTTGCGAAAACATAGCAAAGCTCAATGATAGTTTAGAGCTAACGAATCTACCAGTTCCTCAAAGTTACGTACCAACTACCCGCCAAAGTTGTCCAACGAAACTAGTAGGAAACAAGTTCAATCAAACTAGTTTAACAACAATAGACATACCAACGTGGTCAAGTTGTGATAACAATATGGCTTGTGCAGCTCAGTCTTCCCCGAAAACTTCTGCTAGCAGCACCACGACTCATTCCAGCAGTTTAGAACTGCCCGTTAATACTATGCCTCTTCCTGACAATATGCTAGCTGAACTCTTGTATAATTATGAAGATTGTTCTTCAAAGTTTGGAGGTAGCGAAGAAAGTTTGATACTCAAACCACCTAGTATGTTTATTAAAGAAGATGTTAAAGTGGTACCGCAAAGTATGAGTTTAAATTTAGAGAACGTAGGATTCCGCAAACACAGTATTAATTCGGATAAGCCGAAGCGACGCAGCAGTTTACAGATAACGCCCAAAGAGTTTCACGACTATCCCAGCACTTCCAGGCAGTCGTTGTGCAGGTGTTGCTTGGAGTACTGCCACAGTCCGAGATCTTCAGATTCCGGAATGGCTGGAAGCTGCACACTTAATTCACCGGATTCAGCTAACGTGAATGAAACATCTGATTCTGCTCAGATTCGTTGTAGTATAGACATGGCTAATCTTTTTGACAAATACAGTGACAAACAAGATGCCATATCGTTAAGTGAGTTAGTTGCTAGGGATTTCGAGTCGGAGTGCCCGTGTACGTCTCCTTTCGGCTCTACCCCGCGGACTTCAGGGCAAGATTGCATCAACGAAAACGTCATAACGAAGTCACGCGATAGCATGACGTCATCTACCAGAATGCAATCAAAACTGTACGTAGTGCCATCAAGGCCCAGTGTGATCGGACCGGTAAAATCTCAATCGATGGGAAGTTTACTAGAAGAATGCCAAAAAGATGATACAGAGAAGAGCGAGGAAGGTGACGATTGTCCTATGTTCAAGTCCGGACTGTATGCTCATTGGTGGCTGAAAGCGAAGATACCAGCAAGTGTTGTTAAGGGTATTTACATCAGTACCCGACCAAAAAATACAGGCAAGGGCATGATTCTGGCCGGTTTGTCTATTTTTGTGGTTTTGTGATTTATTTAAAAGCTATCTAATAATCTAACAAATGGCTTGTGTGTTTTTGGCCCTTGCCTGTATGACACCTCATCTTAACTTTATTCATGCGATTAATTGATCACTTCTCATTGTAATCAACCGACTTGCTTTTTAACAGTTATTCATGATTTTTTTTTCAAATTTATTGACACTGACATAATATGTTTGGTTTTATTCATTTTACCAAGCTATAGCATAAAGAAATTGTTGTATTAATGCCGTAAAATCATCGTGGAATGCCATTTTTTACGAAAAGTATTTTCCGAAAATGACAGATTACTGCACAAGAAAGCAATATAACCTAAAAGTACTCCAACAAAAATCAATAAGAAACTCTAGAAACAGCGCATGTACAAAAAAAACTAATAAAATTCACTTAGCGATATTATTCTCATTGTCATTGTTGATACGGCCCAAGTCCATTCCTCCATCCCAACATCCTCATCTATACCATATCCCCATCTCAATTTTGCTCCAACTTTTTTAAGTTTCATTCCGAGAGCTGTCTTTTTAGTTTCACATAGAGCCATAAAGACAAAAAATATATAGATATATAGACTTAGATTACTTAATTGCTTTTCAAAATATGTCCCACCAAGATCGACACCCTTTTGCATATGTTCAAACCAATTGGTAAAACAGTTATTACAGTCTTTAGTTGACACCTGCAAAATCGCTGTTTAAAAGCATACATGGCTTCTTCTAGCGACTGGAATAGTTGCCCAGGTATTAAATTCTTGATCTTTGGGAACGTGAAGAAGTCGTTCTTGGCAGTATGGTGGATGGTTTAACAGTTCGATGTTTTGAAACTCCAAAAACTCTATTGTCTTTTGGTTAGTGTGAGCACTCGCATTGTAAGCAGTATGAGACTCGCATGGCAATTAGAAGTAACCGTTCATCGATCTTCTAAAGCAATTGCTGCCACCTGACCAGATTTTGACACAAAAGTTGTGACCATTTTCTTTGACCCACGTCGAGAACGGATCACCTTTGTGGGATTTTCCTCATCGTTCACCCACACATCGGAATGGCGTTTATTTTCCGGTTCCTAGGGGTAAATCCAAGATTCATCGCCACTAACAATACTATAAAGGTTTTTTGAGCTTCCTTTGTTGAACCGTTCCAATGTTTTTCGACATCAATTGAGGCGAACCGCTTTTTACTCTTCTGTGAGGAAGTGAGGGATCAAACGGGAAACCAACTTCGTAACACCTAGTTCTTCATTTAATATGTTTTGGATCGAGGTCTTTGAAATGCTCAAAGAAACATACAATGATTCCCGAGATTATAGTAAATGATTTGGGATCATGTCTTAGTTTTTCTGTTCTCTTTACGTTTTGTTGGCTACAGAGATTACCAAATATGCTACGACAACAGTTTTTTTACAGACAGTCGAAAAATACTCAAATATAACTGTTGACGTGGAGAAAATGCACCAAGCAGAGGAGATATTCCTTGATGCCGATGCTTGAAGTCATAATGGATGAAAAAATTCAATAGAGCTGTTTTTATTAATTATTTTTTTGAATTGACACATTTTAGTCTTTTGCGGGAATAAATTGATGGAAAGCGTCAAATATAGAATAACGTGAGGTCAGTGTCAGTAGCTTTCAAAAATTATCATAATTGATGTAATGTAGTATTTTCCGAACCAATTATTTTTATGTCTTTTGTCAATAGATGACGCCACTAATATCAGGCGGAAACCCAAACCTAACGAGTAACCACCAACGCCAAGGCAGCGTCCGCTCCATAACACCCACTCTTTCAGCTTCCAGTCATAGTATTGCCAGTGTAAACGCAGCAGGTCGTGGATGGTCGGCCATATGCCTGCGCCCCACTCCGCCGTTGCGACCATACCTTGCTTTGGGTACTTCCCCGAACGGACCGTACTCCAGGTACACCAGTCGTAGGCCCATGAGTTACAAGGAGGACGGTTTTATCTTGGATGTCATCGAAGCGTATTGTTCCACCATGAAACCCAGAAGCACTGTTAATTCAGGTAGGTGAGATTGATTTTTTAGTGCTTGTACAATTAGGGTAACACTTTTTACGTCTAGAACTTTTTCTAGTGGAAATGACATAGAGACGGGATATTTAAATTGTTACTGCTATAGATTTTAAAAAGTTTTCGAGTAAATTGACATTAAGAACTGTGTATAAATGCCAGTCGACACCCTGTTACTAAAAGACGCATTGAGAAACTGCAAATAGTGCCTAAAATACGTAACTACAAGTTTATGATTGTACCTTGACGAAGAAACCAACGGAACTATTGCTATATTATCTTTGTAACTGAGTTGCAGATAGATCAAATTTGGCTTAAGCATTTTAAATCATTTTTCCGTCATAATAACTTCAATTAAAATACCCTTGCATAAAATGATTGATTGCGAATGCTTATTAATTTTGCAGTTGCAGTCTAAGTGTTAGACGGATAAACACAGACAACAAAAGTTGTGTATATTAATGTCAAAAACACATTGTTTATAACATCGGTGTAAAATCAAATGACATCTGTATAGCATTAATACTTTGAATATTTTTGTTGCATATAATTTTCATCTTATAGATAAAATGTTCTTCTCTTGATTTAGCTGTATATATTGCTTGTATATAATTTTACTTGATATGAATTTAGTTCTCGCTTAGAAAGCGAGATCTCGCTTAATCAAATTTTAAATGTTATTCTATACTATTGTACTTTTTGTTTTATAAGTTGAGAGTGGTTGACAAAAATAGGTGCATTTTAAATATAAATCAAAAGTTTTTTGATATCTGCTTGATTAATTATTGGGTTAGCATCCTTTATCTTTTCTTCGGGATTCTATGGCCTTTCGTCATTTGTGAACAGATCCCATAAGATATCCACTGGTTTATATGTTGTGTACTGTATATCTTTTTAATCATCTCTCTTATTAGTATACATCTCAAGCGTAAATAGTGGGTAACCACGTTGAGGCTAGAGATGTGGCCCCACGTTGTGCGCCAAATTTGTAACGTTTTAACAACGGTACGTAGCCTGCCGCATTCTTGGACAGTATCAATATATAAACGACGTTTATAAATATATAAATTATTCATGTATTATTTAGATTTAGCCATACGGCTCAAATTCCCTCTAAGGGGAAAATTCACTCATCCCAGATACCTACGGTATCAAAAGGATTGAGCTCTGGTGGGACTCTTTCCGTGTTATCGACCCCTAGGTGACTTGGTATGCTGGAGTATCTCCCAAAAATTCTCGTACACATCTGGACGTTGAGAGTAGTACAGCTTTCTGTATGGTCTTGTAGAGATGTTCATTCAGAACTAGTTTTTTTATGTTTTCTAGGTTCTTTGGAATGACTCCAGTAGGAGAGAGAATAATAGGTATTGTCTGGGTACTTTCCATTCTCCACTGTCTTCTTATATGAATTTCCAGATTCCTGTACTTGGCGATTTTTTCGTTCTGTTTAACACGAAGATTATTGTTGTTGGGTAATGACACATCAATTAATGCTGTTTGTCTCTTTAGTTTATTAACTGGTATGAGATCTGATCTATTATGTGCCACTGTTTGCAGTTGTCATTCTCAGTATACTCTCAGGAACGCATTGGTAATATGGAAGATGGTTTATTTGAAGAAGTCCCAGTTTGATAGCTATCTCTTGATGAAGAATATTTCCTGCTGAGTCGTGCCGTTCGTTATATTCAGTTGCAGCAAATGCCTTACATCCCCGGTAAAATGTTGGATGGTTTCCTGAGCTTGACATCCATATCGGCATTTTGGAGCTAAGGGTCTTTGACGATATATTTCAGGTAATTTTGGTTGGTATAACCTGATCCTGAATGGCCAGTAGTGAATCTTCTGTTTCAGGGAACATCTTTCCTGATGTCAGCCAATAGTTCGACGCTATTTTGCCGACATGGTCTTGACTGACCTCATTGGAATGTCGCCCGTGCAGAGGTTTACCCATCCAGGTGCGCATTGTTTCGTCCTTAGTAAGATGGTTTATGCGCATTTCTGCTTCCCTCAGTTTGATCGGTGTTGTATCATCTACTGTAATGTATTATTATTATATGTAGTAATTCAATGCTATTCTCTCGTCGTGATCAGAATTTTCTGTTAAGATTTATTCTTTAGCCGATCTGCTCCCGTTTTAAGACACTAGAAACTTCTCTTTCACTCTTTCTCTATGGCTACGTGACTATGGCTATATTCTCGGAAGACGCGAAAGTAGGATTTATTGGTAGAGCTGAGTCCCATTTTTAGACTTCTTCCAGAGTTTTAGTGTAATGTCCATTACCAATCTATTGGCTGTCTTAATTATATCAGAAATGCTTTATTCCTTCTGCCTAGTAGGTTAGAGTTTAAAGAAAGGTTAAAGCTAAACATAGAAAATAATTATGCCATATTATGTCAACCATTCCTACTTATTTCTTACCCATTTATGTCTTCCTCATCCTAACAGTAAGCTCTTCTTTTATTCCCTATGTGCTGGTATTCTTTGACACGAGCAGTGGAACTCTTGACAGGTGGTAACGTACAAATGCATGACAAGTTAGCACGTTCGCAATCGCACAGATCCAGCTTGGATCTGAACCGATCCTCGTTTAATTCGCCTATTCCGAATCCACCTTTGGCCCATCCGCACCAGTACAGACCCCACCAGCGGGCGTCTACCTGGTGCTGCGGCTCGTTCGTCGCGAAACAGTTGCGGAAAACGCAACATTTGGAGTAGCCGTATTGTCTGAGCGTGTTTCTTGGCAAAACATATCAATAAACATAATATATTTGCGTTGCCAGTGAAATGATGTCAGTGACAAATGACAGGTGACACAAAAAATCGATTGTCAAAGTCAATCGAGCAATTCTTTAATTTTATAAATAAAAATTTAAAATGCTAATGTAATAAACCTTTTATATGAAAGTAGTATATCACATATCACTTACAATCAACACAACGATTGTTAAATGTGTCATTTTCTATTATTGTTTGTCGACAAATTTGTCGGTTTTCTATAAAATCTTGAAATCAGAACAATAATTTCTTTATGATTTCTTTGTAAATATAATTTTACAATGGTATAAGTATACCATAATGATACAAGTACAGATTCTAGCATAGCACACTACCACCTAGCATTGAAACTTCCGTGTTGACGAGTAAAACAATGATTGGCGCATCACCTAGTGACCGGGCGCCTAACTATATATACATGGCGCGAAATTCAAAAGTTTAGTAATATTACCTAGGATTGTGAACTCACTTTAAAGTAAAGGAAAATCCATATAATCCTAAAATAACAAGACAAATCCTTATCCTATACGATAATAAATATTTTTCGTATACTTTTTGGGTTTTCTTGTTATGTTGAGACTATATTTATTTTACATTACATTAAAATGCCAAAGTGGTTAAAAAAATTAAAGAATAAACTATAGAATAAAATCTTTATTTATAAAAATGTTACAAGAAATATTAATAATAAAAGCCAAGTGTACTATAATTTAGTTTTCTTAATGTTGTGGCAAGAACTGGTCAGTATTTAAATAATTGTTTTGTCTTAGTATGTCAAGTTTTATGTGAATAAAAGCCTAATTCTGCAAAAGGCATTTTACTACAATTTTATTCTCATAATTCGCAAAGAATTCAAACATTGGTATATAACATTCAAGATTTTTTTAGAAAGCAATGAATCTAAAGATAAATCCCTAGAAGACAAAGATAAGTACATGCTTTTAATAAATTTAGTCTATAATTACATAAGCGAAGCAATCAATGGGGAAAACCAATTGCTTTTTTCACACATACTCTCACAGATTCTGAATGAAAACATGCAATTGAAAAAATGCAAATGCATTGAAGTATTAAAAAAATGCAGACATTATCTGGTAGGAAAGCAATTCAAACCAATCACAGATTAAATCACTATTTTTTGTATATAGAATGCTGGCATATATAAAATCTGACAAGGAGAACTAGCTTTACTTCACAAGAATTTATTAATTATCTACACTCTAAAGGAATATGTTCAAGTAGAACAACACCATATAACCATGAAGGAAATGGTTAAGTTGAAAGATACAATGAGTTATGTATATGGAAATTGGTGAATCTAGCATTGAAAACCAAATATTTAGACATCACTAAATGAAAAACTGCTTTACCAGGAGCTCTGTACTATATACGAAGTTTACTATTGAATTGTTATATTAATGAATCATGATAATGATGAAGATGAAAGTCCAAATATCACATTAGAGAATTCCACTACTAAATCAATACCAGATGTTCTAATGTCAAATTAAATCCTAATAAGCAACAGACAGCCGTCAGACATTCTGAGTTCTTTGTAGTACTTACATCCTAATCTAATAACACACACTACCAGCGGTCAGTGAGAACTCTTACTGTCTGGCGTTCTACTCACAGAAAGACAGAACTCTGCTAAGTTGGAAACAGAAAAATTAAATGATTTAGTTCTAGAAAGAACTTTATATACATTTATATGATAATATTTTTAGTCATATTTAAACCTATAAACCCAACAGTTAGCTCTAACATTCTAAGATCCAGCACTATAAAGATGGAAAAATAACATTAAAAATAAAAAAATATGTAAAGTATTACCTAGTTACAATAAAAACATGAAGTATTTTACAAAGTTAAGTTTCCAAACTCTATGTTACCAGTAACTCTTTTCTACTAATATTTATATATTTATTGAGAGACATATTAAATACATTTAGATTTAGGTTGTTCTACAAAATGGAACATTAAAAGTACATAGATGAGACAAACCATGGTAATATGGTACTCTAAGACCAATCTCACTCACAAGAGAGCACAGATCCCTCCTCGCACTTAACAGACAAGCTCAAAGACCTCTCCATATGATAGTGTAGTTATGGTCTGCTAATCTAATCCAACTTTGAAAGGCGCACACCTGTAGACATTTATGTCGAACCCTCTCTAAGGTGATGATTTTTAAGATAGTTGTTGAACCACCACCTAC